TGGACGGACACCTTGTATATACATATATTATATATATGAAAATTTACTTTTTTGTGTACGGCCTAGAAAATTTACTTTTTTGTGTACGGCCTAGAAAATTTACTTTTTTGTGTACGGCCTAGAAAATGACGCTGCAAAAGTAACGATTTAACAACGAGATTGGCAAATTGAGATCGTTCTAATGCATAGATGTTTATATTATACTTAGAGCTTTAACGTGTGGAAAAACTGAGGCTGGAAAAATTTTCGGCCGTGACATCTTACAACAAAATGGCCGCTTCCATTTTTGTTTAGCTATTTTATGAAATATACTAGCATATTTTATTTTATTTTTCAACCTCAATGAAATAAAATTTTTCAGTTTTAATATTTACAATTTTTAATTGGAACATAACCTTCTCACATATCACAGAACTTGAATATTTATTACAAATAAATGCATTCAACTTATCATTTATAGTTCATGTTACGTATTCTATAGATTTTTCGTTCTGATAGTGTATATCGGAATGTAGTCATACGCATCGACGCTATTTTGTTGTAAGGAAAATGACCGAAAATCTTGCCGACCTAACTTCCTTTTTAGTTTTTAGAAGTTATCTAGTATAGTATAGACAACTGTGTTCCAATGTAGTTGGCTCTTCGCATAAACTGCAGTAGAATAGGCTTATATTGCACCGACGTGAACGGTATCGCATAAGAAAAATGCTTTGGAAGTGCTTGGTGAGGAATATTGAATCAACGAATTATCCTCCTTCGTTTCGCAACAATAAAACGGTTTCGCAAAAAACCGTGCTCTTTTCTTTAAAATTCAAGTAGCATATTTTTTACTGAAATGTTATACGGAACACCGGGTCATGGTCCACTTTCCAGAATTTTGAAGTTACAATTTTTCAAATAACGAATTGTTATGATCAACCGTATAAACATGATAGAGACAATCTTCTTCTATGTTTTTATACCACGAATGATCCTGTATACGGTTTATTTTATTCTGTAATAATTGAAACACAACACTTGCCTTGTATATGGTACACGCGATTTTATGCTCGAACATTTACTAGTTCTAGTAGGCTGGCTTTTTCCAAACTTTTATTAATTTAATTGGCGATTAATTGGCAGAAATTTGAATTGAATTGGCAGAAGTCAACAGCAATTTGTAATTATGTATTAGTAGTAGTAAAAAGTTAGTTTTGCATCGGCAACAATATCTCGAATAAAAATATTTTTCCATCTTTTTGGGGTTTTGAAGTGTTGACATTAATGATTACAAAACGTCATGTGACACGCAAGGAACATAACTTTAAAAGTCAATATTGATCATGATGGACATAAAGAGCATATTCGATATTTCATCCATCTAAAATTTCATCTCCAGAAAAACGCTGATGAAGCCGAAATGATTTATATTGTATGTAGTGATAATGCTGTAAATTACGCAACGTATAAAAATTGATATTGTGACGGCGTTTTTTATTTGAAAGACCAATCACGTTCTGGACGAACTGTCAAGTTTGAATTGAACAAGCTGCATTATTAAATCAAAACATAGAGTAAATTAAAAAAAGAACATGCGGAACAGCTGGGAGTCAGCCGAAAAGCCATTTTCTATTGTTTGCATCGAAAGGATTCGAAAGGAAGGAAGAAAAGTGGGTGTCACATGAATTGACTGAAAATAATAAAATGCGCTAGACATCGCACTGTTCTTGCTAAGATGGTTCAAACAGAATTTGAACATTTTTTGTATCAAATCATCACAGATGATGAAAAGTGAATCCTATACGATATAATCCAAGCACGAAAAGTCATGGGTAGATTGTAATCAACCGACGACATCCACTGCAAAGGTTAATATCCACGCCAAAAAGGTTTCGCTCTGTATTTGATGGGACTGGAAAGGTGTGCTCTATTATGAGCTGCTGAAATCGAGTGAAACAGACACGCCAGACCACTACCAACAGCAATTTATCAATTTAAGCAATACATTGGAAGAAAAGAGGCAAGGAAGCCGCAAAGTCATCCTGTTGCATGACCACGCATGACCACATATTGTTGAGGCGATGAAGGAGACCATTTTCGCATTGGACTGGGAACTTTTCCTGCTGGTGATGTATTCATCGGGGATAACTTTTTCCGATTAAAACTTATTCCAGGCGATACAGCATCATCTGGCTGATACGCACTGCAAAATAGAAGAAGAAGCATTTTATGACTTTATCGCTTCGAAGTCGGTGAGCTTTTATCACCTGGGAATTCGCAAACTATCAGAAAAATGGCGGAAAATCATCGGTAATAACGGAGGATATTTATTTCAATTAAGCACGTTTATAAAATATTCCGAGAATTTTTATTTTACTGTAACAAGGAAAAAATAGGCATAAAATTAACGTGATAGAATTATGAAAGAAAATAAGTAGAAGAGAAGGTTGCATGTCATATTAATTTTACGACTATTTATTAATTATTAGAGTAGCAAGAAAGTTTTTAATAAAGTCGTGCAAATGTTATTTTATGGATATATCGTTTTATTCCAAAATATTTCGTAACAATTTTGAGTATGCGTTTTTAACGTCATCAATCAAGAGTTTTGTGTTGAAGGACCAGGAACTTTAGGAAAATTTATTTATCGCAACGTGTAAAGTTACCCGTTTCGAATATTTTTGCGGCGGCATGGAAATATGGAAACGCGAGAAGACGATCTGCAGAATATAACTGTTGCTTCTTTTTTCCGAAAAGTAAACGAATGAATAGAAAATTATTTCTGAAATTAATTCCGTAATCTAATTCTGAACTCGTAATTCTGCACTACAGATCCCCGCGAGTTTCTCTTAATTCGCCAATTATTTTACAAAATTAAGTTCCCTCGTAGTGAATGCTCGGATAAAGTAGCGAGCTGTCCGCGTACTCGGAAAAACTGCAATTTTTACTCGAGACTCGTCCGATTATCTCCTGCCGTACGAATTACGTCGTTTTCCACTTGTTGAAAAATTTCCGGTCTGCTGTCACAGAGATGTCATGCTCGAACAAAGCGCAGAGGAAGAGGAGGAAAAGAGGAAAGAGTAGGAGGAGGAGTAGGAAGAAGAAAAGGGAGGAAGAGATCCGAGTAATTTAACGAGAAAGGGTACCAAGCGTTCACTTTTTCCAGGGGTTTCGTCCGGCAACCAAGCATAGGGCTTTTTGCCAAATGAACGTATACAACGCGATCGCGTTTGTTGATATGCGCCGGTTAGTTTTGACTCGAGTTCCCGTATATATCTTGCAACGAATGTTAAATGTTAAAACACGATCCGTTAATTTAATCCCGCCAACTCCGTCAATTCAAACCGTTAAATGGCGAAGCGACGATCCGAAATATGAAAGATTCAAAGTGGAAAAGAGGATTGAGATGCGACATGTACGTGGTACGTGCTGAACTAACATCAAGCGGCACGGTAGTGTCGTGCGACACCAAGTATAAAAAATGTTCGACACTAACAATAGACGACGCGGCACTACTAGTTTTATCAGGAGTTTTTGCTTCAATTTTTTTATTAAGATATCTTAGGAATTAAAACTATAATTAAAAATGTAACTTTTTTTGTATAATGCAAACTTCCGATTGCGACCAGTCTAATTAAAATCAATAGAGCCAATCCTCGTAAAAAGATCAATTTTTTCCGATTCAGATTTCAGATTCACACGTACACACGCGTACACTCAAAACAAGTTTGTTTATCAAGCCGCATTTGCAACGAATATATTTCGATGTTAATCATTTGTTATTACTATATTTTTACAAAGTAGAATATTACATGTTGACAGGATTTAATGGTTACAGATTTGCAATTTTAGTTTTTACAAAAAGGGATAAGATCATAACAAAATGGACCTTACAAAAATAAAAAATAACGCCAAGTAAAAAACGTCCAAACATGTATAGAACAGAAAATAATAAAATGTTAAAAATATCCCTTAAACATATATATATAATGTTAAAAAACACATTGTTAAAAAATTGATGATGTTAATAATATTAATCATATATATATTTCTGCAAAAAAATTTGCTAGATGATTGAAGTATATATAATAAAATTTTAATGAAAATTTCAACAGAAATGTTGTAAAGATTTAAAGAAAAGAAACTAATAAATTTTACTAAACAATAACTATACGCTAAAATATCAAGGTAATAAATTCAAGAAAAATTTAACATCGGGACTCAAAAATTTGGCGTGCCCAAGTTGTATTTAAATTCACTCTTCTTTTTTGAGTCTCGACTACCAAGAATTAAGTAAACTCCAGTGCGACACAAAGTAAAGATAATTTTTATTCAATAAACTTGATCCTTTCTTTACGCATTCGCGCTGGATAGATCCAGCAATTCAAGTTTCAATCATCAGCACGATCAATCCAAACAGTTAACATTTCCACATAAAAACTATGTGTACGATACAGATAAGAATAGCAATATATTTTTATTTTAACATTATATTTTTATAGCCTATTTACTTTATTTTATAATACTAAATATAATTTACCTCTCGCTGAAGACATCCACTAATTATATATTAATTTTACTGCACTAATACACCTGTACTGAACTCTCTAGGTCCTATTTTAACTTCTGATTTGTTTCAAAAGAGTTCTTTTGTTTCCTTTTTAATTTATTTTATATTGTTTTTGACGTTTTTAAACTTTTGTCTTTGAAACAATGAAAATTTTGAATACCTGAACTATATATACAGGATCCTTCTTTTTTCGTGTAATTTTCTAAAATTAATTTCTCTAAAACTATTGTGAATATCACAAAACGGTATGGGACTCTCTTGCTCACCTCAATCTGTTCTGCGCTCTCGCGAAGTTGGTGATCTGGGAAACCCTAATTGAAATTTTTGTCATAGCTGCGTTTACAATTTCCAATCCTTTTCTTCCAGTACTATCAATGCTTGTATTTGAATACGGCATCTTGCACGTTTGAACTACTAATCTCATCGACATTTTTCCTATCGATTGTTTCAGGACGGCCGCCAGATTTTGTCGCGTTCGTCATCACGATACTTATGATGCTGCTGATGGCGGCGGGCGTGAAGAAGTCCTTAGTATTTAACAACGTGTTGAATGCCATCAATCTCGCCGTTTGGGTCTTCGTCATGGCGGCGGGCATGTTTTACGTGGATTCCGACAACTGGTCCGAGCACAAAGGTTTCCTCCCTTACGGCTGGAGCGGGGTAAGTGCGACATATGTAGCAAATAGAGCGTCATGAGGAGTTCACGATCGTTATTTGTCATATAGGAGAGATATATTCAACGATAGCAGGAAATGCTATCGATTTCTTTTAAAAGAAAAAAAATCCGATCGAAAGAGCCCAAGGAGAAGTCCGCGCTTGCCCGCTTTGTAACTAAACGATACCGCGCTCGTTCGCTTCACAATACAAATGATTCCTGTCGCGCAAAGGATTGTTAAACAATAGTTATTCGCTGCATCGAGTATTAACGCGGGCACAGGCTTTGTCACGCGGCTCTCGCGAATGACGAAAGGAAAAAAACAAGGGTCGGTGAAGATAGGATGAAAAAGCTCTCTCGGCTGAAGCCCTCTCGGCGTGTCTTTTCCCAGCTGCTTTCAAAGATCCGGCCTCCGTTCTCGGTGTCAACGGCAAGCAGGGTGGTACCGCCGCATTTTAATACGACGAGAACATCAGGGGTCTTATTAAATTAAAGGAAGGTCACCGTTAAAAAATGACTTTCGGAACGATCTATCTCGTGAACCGACAAACGTGTTTCTGTATAAAATAACAATGGCGCTAAAATTACACACACACACATACATACATACATACATACATATATATATATATATATATATATATATATATATATACAGGGTGTTCCGCCACTACCGCATTATCTTTTAAAGGCGGATTCCTAAGGTAATTTGAATAAAAAAATCCTAATGCAAAAATAGCGAGGTTATAATATTTTTTAATTATAAACGATTAAAATTGACTAATTATACTGACTAAAGTATGCGCGATGAGATACGGCACAACACAATGGTACAGGTGCACATAAGTGAGAATTTGCATAAGATATGAAATTAGTTGTAAATCCTTGAAAGAAACGTCAAATATGTAACAACTTACTGATTCTTATAAATGTATTGTGTGATATTTTATTCATAACATTTTGACGAAATTGTTATTATTTGCGATATGTTTATTTAAATGATAGAAAAGGCAGATTATTATTGCATATATTTTTGTATGTATAGAACTTCCGTACCAATATTTGGAAAAGGGACGACATGTGCATGCATCTGTACCATTGTGTGTTGTAGCGTACCTGAACGCGCGTATTTTAGCCAGTATAATTGGTTAACCTTAATCGTTTGAAAAGTATTTGAGCTTCGCCCTTTTTGTATTAGGATTTTTTTATTCAAATTACCTCAGGAATCCGTCCTTAAGAGATAATGCGATAGTGACGGGACACCCTGCATATCTAATAAATTTTATATGAACTCGAAACGTCTCTAGAAACGATCTATCTCGCAAATTAACAAACATGCTTCTGTACGATATAACAATGGCACCAAAATTATATTAAACACTACTTGATTACATATTAACAATAAAGCAAGAAAGATAAAACGTTGTGTGGAATGAGAGGAAAACTTATTCTAGAAATATGTAATAAAATGTATATAAACCAAAAATACCTTTAGGAACAATTCATTTCGCAACCGACAAACACGTTTCTGTAGGATGAACAATGACGCCGAAATTTTATTAAAATACATGATTATATATTAACAATGAAAACGGTAGTGAAAGAAAAATGTATTCTGAAAATATGTGGTAAAATTCATATAAAACTTGAAATATCTTTAGGAACAATTTATCTCGTGAATTAATAAACACGTTTATGCATGATAGAACAAGGATACCAAAATTATATATTAAACTATTTAATTACATGTTAACAATAAAAGTAGAAATAAAGCGTGGAAACAGAAGGAAACATATTTCAGAAATATGCAATAAAATTCATATCTGAAATGTTTTTAACAACGATATATTTCGTGAACCGACAGATTTCTGTGCGATATAATAATGGTTATGATTGTATTAAAATATTTAACTATATATTAAAAATAAAATGAAAATTAAATTTGAGATAAATGAGAGTCAAAACGTCGATAGTAAAGCGGATAACAGCAATAGTAGATAAAAGTTTAACTATATTTATTAAATTTACAAACATTTCGGTCCTATGAACGAATCCTTTTCAATCTGGAGAGATTAATGACATGAATAATACGCAACGTTGATGTTTCCAAAAACCTTATGTTGCCTCAAAATATTGGACAATCCATGAAACAAGGATAAAAATACAAAAAATTTCTTGGGCATTATAAAATTTCAAACATTTTACTCAATGTACACAATAATCTTGGGGCTCGCATCAAGAACAAAGAATCTAATCGCTAGTTCAGTGGCGTAGCCAGGGGAGTTGAGAGGGCTGCAGCCCCTCCCCCCCCCCCTGAAATTAATTGTTTGGGTTACGCTAAGTGTAAGAAAAATTTTTTCAAATAACCTTTTTTTTGCTTGTCAAAAATAAAAAATACAGCCGAAACTTTTTTCTGGGTACGCCACTGCGCTAGTTTAAATCAATTTGAACAGTAGTTTAATGCCTAAGTGGTGGTGTTTATAAATATATCTTGAACCATCCAACATAAGAAAGGATATAAAGTAATATATCAAATAATAGGAATATAATAATGTAATTTAATAATAATAGGAATATAAAATCGTTTATCGTATTAATTGCAATGACTGTGATGCCTCTTATACAGGCCAAACAAATAGACAAAAACTCGAATCAAAAAACACAGAAATCAATTATCGTGCAATACTAAAGAATTGTCCGTTGTGTCCCTACATAGATTAGAAGGATATGAATTTGATTTGGAAAATGTCAGAATCCTATACAAAGAAAAATCCTGTATTAAAAGAAGTGTGTCTGCAATGTTTTTCATCAATCGTCAAAGAACCTAAATTTGCAGGACATCCTGGGATTAAGTAAGCGATATTGTCTTATCATCGAGAGACTTCTTATTATTTAACGTAATTTATTAATTTATATTAATATTTCGTATTTATTAATATTTTGCAAGTTCTGCTTAACAAGAAATCTTGATGACTTAAACAGAATTCTGGTAATTTTAGATAGAATTTTTGGTCCATATTTTATCAGACATCTGCTTAATCCAACCAAATCTTCATTTTTCGTAAGGAAAATGTATTTTCAGAACTATCTAATAAAATTCTTCTAATAAAAATCTAATAAAAATAAACCTAAAATATTGTCGTAAGATATACGACTATAAAATCAGATTAACACAAAGTACACACAAAGTGCAGCGTTAATCTGATTTTATAGTCGTACGTCTTACGACAATATTTTTATTAATATAAATTAATAAATTACATTAATAAGAAGTATTTCGATGCTAGGGCAATAGTCCTTATTTAATCTCAGGATGTCTTTTTGTAAGTTTAGGCTTTCTGTTTGATGCTTCATGACTTGTTTAACAATTCGAAAGATATTAATATTCTGAAGAGTTTTTTTTAATCTTAACAGCGCGATTTAAGCTTGTTTGTTTTTAAGCTAAAAATTTTTAATCGAGGAATGATTCAGCTCCGAATAGTCTTCACATACGTTTTACTTTCCCAATTGTACTGCGAACTTTGCGAATCTCGTGGTACTACTCGAGCAAGACTTTTGTCGTCAAACCTGTCCGTCGCACAGTCCTGGTTGTAGTTTCGTCGCGGTTTAGCAGGGCGCATGGAATTCAAGCCGCTCGAGGCACGGCAACCGCCGTCGCTCGAGAGATTTTCCGGCCGCGGTTTGCGACAGTTTGCCGCAGAACAATGGCAAACTTGTTGCACCGAGTCGGCCGTACAGCCGACAGATGTAGTCGGCCGCGGAGACACGCGCGACGGGACAATAATAATTGCGAAGAGGGTCGACGACGCGGCCGAGAACGCGGCGCACCGTACGCACACGGACGGATAAAGCTCAACGTGGCGGTAATCGATAGTACGAAATAGCCTTGGATATCGGACACCGGATGGCCGTCGAGAGAACGGAACAGGATCAGAGAAAACAATGAGACAGTGAACTACATCTCAGTTCCGTCTGAACCCCGTGCGAGTTTCAGACGGTTATCCAACGGCTCGCTTGTAGGTCACAGAGGATTTCGCTTGTTTTCGTGTAATTTAGCAGAAATAGATAGCAGATTGTAGAGCAAGAAAGAGCGAGGAAGAGAGGGGGAGGAGAGAAGGGAGACAGAGATTTTTAAGTTAATGTTGCCTTAATATTAAATTACATTAAAGTAAATATGAAATTAAGCATGATATCTGTATTTCAAAATTAGATTGTTTCCCTGTATTTGAAAATTGAAGTAATCTGTTTTATATTGCATTAAACAAATTATTTATATCTCTTTAAATCATATACTATAACATTTCACAATTTGTAATTAATATTCAATCTATAGAGAAACAATTTCATTAAGTCACTTTTGTATATATAATTCAGTAATGTTCTAGTCTTTCATGGTTTTCATATACATACACACATACGTACGTACACACACACACACACACACACACACACACACACACACACACACACACACACACACACAC